CCCTGCTGCAGCAGGACGAAGTGAGAAGCCGGGGGGAGATGCCACAACGGGGCCTGGGGGTGGGGACAGGGAGTGCCCGCCCTGACAGCTGCCCCAGAGACACACTTGCCGGTTCTCCAAACTTAACGGCACACGAGACACTCCTACTATGTGACAGCTCGAAAGGACCGCCACGTCCATCCCGGTCAGTGCTCGAGAAGGGCCGGCCGGGCACACGCGACTGTCGTCCTCGTGGGCAGACCAATCCATCTGCGAGAACCCGAAACCCTGGCCAGCGGCTGGCCCCAAGCGGCGGACACGGTGTCTCCAGCCGCCATGCCAGCCGGGCTCACCTCCTTGCGCTCCGCATCGGCCTGAGTGCGGGCCTGGGCCGCGGCGGCTTCGCGGTAGGAGCTGGCCTGCTTGGCCTGCTCGAACAGCGTCTTCAGCTGCTGGGCCGTGCTGAGCAGCGAGTTGACCATCTCCTCCAGGTACAGCCAGTTCCGCTGCTCCGACATCTCTAGCCCGTTGACCACTACGGGGGACGCGGGCTTGCTGGAGGGCGGGGCAGCCAGGGCCGGCAGCGGCGTCAGCACTAGATGGTGGGAAGCAAACCAGAGTCGGGTGTCACACAGGTGCCCGCGTCAATCGCCCACTGGACGCTGTCGTCAGATGCTGGGGAGCAGGGTGGTCAGTGGTCGGTAGGGGTGACTGTCCCAGGGCCTCCTCCCAAAATGCCCCCAATGTCTTCAGAGCTCCACACGCACAGGTGGGAGCCACATGTCCACAGGTGACATACACACGGACAGCGAGCAGGACGTGCCCGTGTGGGGCCACCACAGACGGGCCTTGCAGGACCCGGTGAGAGGACAATGACGGGAGCGAAGTGGCTCCGGACTCAATCACGTGCACAGTAAACCAGACGCAGGGACGGGGGGGCCGAGGCAGTCACACGTGGGGCAGGTGGAAACTGGACTCTGGGGGCAAGCCCGCGACAGACACGGAGGCAAGGCTGCACACCCGACGTGTGTGCGGTGCCACTGACCAATGTCGCCTCCACTGAAAGTTAACTACAAAGGGGACCCGGAGTCTCCTGGCCACGTGTCTGCTCACGCAGAAACTCTCCTGGCATTGTGGCCGCCCACAACGGGACCGAGGCTTCTCAGCCAGAGAAGAAAGTTACAAAGATGGAAAGAGAGGAGACTCGAGTGACCCCTACGGTTTCCAAGGTTGGGATGGGGACAAGACTCCACGCACGGCCTGGGGTGCCCACGACCTGGGGCACGCACGCCCAAGAGCAGGTGTTTAACAGGCAGCCTCCCCAGAGAACCGGGTCTGCAGCACGGGCCAGGCTCTCGGCGTTGACACTCCACTGCGGCCCGTTCCAAGCTGCCCACGTGAGGTCGCTGGACGTGGGCAGTCGGAGCTCCGGTCACAACCGTCCGGCCCAGCTCACCAGGCCCGAGGCTGGCACTCGGCTCTGCAACACCACCTACTAAAAGGCTCAGGACTCCCCAAAACCCCAACATGAGCCTTCAACACTTCCCTGTGCCCGAAAGTAAGGACACACTCAAGAGACAAGGGGCCAGATCGCGGACAATTCGGGAACAAATAATGACAGTAACAGGTTACAGCCCAGACAATAAGGGCAAACTCTGAGTCCACACTGAAACGAATCAGTGCACGGGCAAGTGGACCGTGGGACAAGCAGCTGAGGGCCACACGGGGCGGGGCACGCCATCGCCCAGGACGCGGCTGGGCCCAGGAGCTGGGGGCGTGGTGTGCGTGGGGGGCAGAGCGCAGGGGGCTTCGGGGTCGGAGAGCGTCTACCCGGGCGAGAGGAGCGAACAGGCGAGGGCGCGGGCACGAGAGGGCTGGGCTCACAAACCACGAGCACGTTTCCGTCCGCCGTGGCCTTGCTGGTGCGCCGGGCACGCAGGGGCCCCACGCAGCACTGCGCAGAGTGCGGTGACGCAGGAGTCTGTCCCACACGGGACGCGGCGTCAGGGCCGCCTGCGCCCAGGCGCAGGTCCTCACGCTGGCGCTTCCCCCGCAGCCCCGGCCGGCTCTGCGTGGAGCGAGGCCGCGCCCGGGGCACAGGCGTCCTCGTGGGGAGGGCGGAGCCTCAGCCCTCCACAGGGCCCGGCAGGGCCTCGGGCGGCGTGGGCCACACGGTCTCCGTGCACGAGCAGCCTGACGTGTAGCAGGGGCAGCCGTACACGACCCCCAAGTGACCGGGCGCAGCCGTGTTCCCATGGGCAGTGGGCACCAAACCAGCGCCCTAAGGAGCAAGTCCGAGGACCTGGTGTGCGGCGATCCCCCGAACTGACCAATTTTGGGATGCGATGTTGGCAGAGCGGCTTCCGGAAAGGGCGCGACCTGGCAGCCGTCCTGGTAGCCGGGGTAGTGGGGCTCCGCGTGGCCGACCCTGCATGGGGGCTGCACGCTGGCTTCCTGCACTGGCGACAAGGAAGGACAGGACGGCATGGCCTCGCGGCCCAGGCACTGGCCACACAGGCCGTACACCTCGGCCTGCCCAGAGCTGCGCTGTCCCTTAGCCTGGCTCCTGCCACACGGGCCAGAGCTGCCACAGCGATGCCGTCTGGAACACACCCCTCGTTCCGCCCCCTGTTGTGGCTGCTGCGATGTTCACAGCCACGTGCCCTGTGTCTAAGGGACAGTGCTGCTCCTGAGCGCAGTCACCAGACTGAGCCTTCTCAGCCTCTCAGGGCAGGTGGGCTGTCCCAGTGATTGCCACATCCGCCCCCTACCTGTCCTGTCTCCCCTTCCCGCCTGCCCCACACCCCTTCCTGCCCAAGCTCAGGCCCACCTGGAGCTCACCAACCAAATACCCCTGGTCACCCCGCCTGGTACCAGACGACTGACAGATGCCGACCCAGCAGAGGGGAGGCGGGTGGGGCAGGTGCTGGGACTCACCTGTGGCTCCCGCGAAGACATCTCCCTGGGCCGGGCTCTCCGAGATGACGGCCGTGGCCTCCACAGTGGACGCCCGGTCAAAGGTCAGTGCACCAGAGGTGGCAATTTGTCCCGAGGGCGTCACTGTGACTGAAAAGTAGAAGTGTTTTTTACTTTACCACACTGGGGCCAAGGCTTGTGGCTGAGACCCAGGCGTGGACATGGACACCATGCTGGACGCGCTCCAGTCACCTCTGCAAGGACACGGAAGAGGGCAGTGACCTCAGGAGCCTATGGGGACCGAGGCATCGCAGGGGCGGCGGGCAGTGACCCCGGGAGCCTGCGGGGACACAGCCGGGCGTGGCAGGGGCGGCGGGCTTCCCATGGCAAACGTGCTGCTTGCAACGTTTGGGTTTGGACACGCGAAAGAACTGCCTGGTCGAAAGCAAAACTAAAATTTAAAACAACTCAAAACCCACTCTGTAGTTTGACTTAAGAGCAAGGAGAACACGGTGGTGTCCCCGCACGTCTGCACCCCGTCTCCGCAGGGTCGCCCTGCACCGGGGGCGCCAGCTGTCAGGCTCCCACTTCTCCCCGTCCGTCTCTCCCACGTTTCCACGGTTCTCAACAAAGCCAGACCCGCCCCCACGCCGCGAGCCCCCTGCTAGACCACGTCAGCGGGGCATGGAGCGGGCATTCCGGAAGCTGCCCAGGCCGAAAGGCGGAGACGTTGCCTCGAGGACGGCAAGACGCTGACGCCCCCAGGAGGCTGGGGAGCCTCCCCTGAGCAGTGTGTGCCGCACACTGTCCTCAGTTCACAGGCGGGGAGCCCTCCCACCCCGGGGGCCGGTCCCCGAGGTGCAGGCAGGCAGGAAGGGGACACAGGAGGACCCGCCAGCCCTGCAGGGCCTGCTTTAAGGGACGCTGGCCGTGGTGGCCGGCGGGCGTGGCGCGCCGCCTGGCAGGAACTCACAGGCAGTGGCGGCGGTGGCTGGCAGCAGCGCGATGCCCTTGCTGGCTTCCTTCTTCACCGGAGCCGCGGGCAGCTCGTTCTCCTTCTTGCGTCGCTTGTAGGGGACGAAGAGCCGGACTGGACCGCTCTGCGGGGGCGGAGGGAGACGGTGGGCGGGCTGATGGTGGCCCTGAGGTGGTGCCCCAGCCTCAGGCCGATGCTGGGCTGCGAGCACCCACACGAGAGCGGCTCTCGAGTCCCCGCCTCCCTGGCAGAAGAGTCATCCAGGAGGGGAGTGGGAGTCACGGGGCTCGGAAAACGAGCCAGAGCGGCATCCGCATCGACCGCCCAGGCGCTCCCGGAAGGCAGGACGAACGGAGCAGAGAGGGGAGACGGCCGCCGGGAGCGAGGGCCGGTCCAGCAGGCGCTTCGTCCCCAGACGCCCCGGGGGAGGACGGCCTGCGGTAATTAACTGATCGAGAAACGCCCACGGACAAACGACAGGAAACAGCGAATGTGCCAGACGCGTTCCCACGAAGGCCCAGACACGACGGCTGCAAAGGACAATGTCCCCGACCCCTCGAGGACAACTGTCCTGCTGCGTGTCCCCGACCTCTGGAAAAAGCCACACCCCGACGCCCCACGCACCCGGCACCGGCCCAGCCTGGTCCTCGCACACAACTCGGGTGCTCTGCTGTCACCCTAGGGCCTGCCCCACCTCGTCCGCGGTCTCCACGTCTTTATGACGAGACACCTCCTGCCATGGACCACCCGTGGTCCAGGACTCACAGGTGGAGGCCTCTACCCCTGGTGTGGCTGTATTTGGGTCAGGTGACGAAGGCTCTTGAGGCCGTGAGGCCGTGAGGGGGCATCTGTCCCTCTGCCACATGACAAGGCAGCTGCCTGCTCTCCAGGAAGCCAGTCAGCACCCGTCTCAGATGTCCGGCCTCCAGACCACGGGGAAATCCGCTTCTGCTCTCCCAGCCCGGCAGGGGACGACTCCCGACGCGCTTCCCACAGCCCGGGCGTGAGCGTGTCCTCGAGGCCTGTCCGCCACTGGGCACGAGGCCCCTGCCAGGCGGGGCCTCTGCGGCCTCCCTCCCTCTGCACGGTCCACACCTCTGCTTCTCTGCCTCTTACACTGTGGAGACGGACCCCCTCCGGGCTTCCTGCCGCTGCTACCTGTGTGCTGGCTTTGCTGCCGTCCTTCGTGACATCACGGCGCCGGGGCCCACTCTTGTCACCTCCACGGCTCTCGAAAGCTAGGGCCAGGGACAGCGCCCATGTCTAGCAGAGTGACAGTCAGCTTCACCTCGGGTGCTCCTGGCCACTCACTGGGCCTCCACGCTGGGGTGCGGCCCCCCTGACCCACAGGAAGAGCCGCCTGAGGGGGCCGGGGAGCGGGAGCCCCCCCCATGGGACGCCCAAAGTGGGGAGAAGGCCCGGTTCTGGCCCACCCCCCTGGAGAGAGGGGAGGGGTGGCCCCGGCGCAGAGGCCAGACGTGGTCAGCCTCGGACGTCTTGGGGGGCCGGTTTTGCACAGGCCGCGGTGGTCGTCTGCCACCGTTTTCATGGCCACAGTTGTTTCTCGGGGAGCCGGTCCTAGGGCACTCCGCACCGCACTCCTGCGGCCAGAGCACGATGCAGCCCAACACAGCGACATTCTCGCTTCGTGGATTGTGCCCTTGGACCCATGCGAGGGACCCCGGGTCACGAAGTCTCCCCCCACGTTTTCTCCTATAAGTCTCAGTTACGTCCCACACCTGGCTCTGCGACCCCTCTGAGCTCGTCCGTGAGGAGTGAGGGTCAGGCCGAGGCCATCTGTGCTGACAAACTGTCCCAGCGCCGCGTGTCGAGAAGCCGCCGCAAGTGGCCCCTGGTAGGCCCCTGGGACCCGCCAGCCCCGCGGCCTGGTTGTGCCACGGCACCGTCCGCCCTCAGGCCCCCGGTGCGAGTCTCTGCTCCCACGGCTGCCGAGGCCGCCGGTCCCCACCGCCCCTCCCCACACGTTCTGGAGTCAGCGTGTTTGTGGAGTCAGGGGCCGCTGCGCAGAGCCGGCACGTTTACTGGGCACCTCCTCGCCCGGCAGGCACGGCTCGCCGAGCCCCGGGTCTCCCGCCCTCCCCACCGCAGCTCCAGCTCCGCACACAGACTCCGCACGGTCTGTGATGCCGACAGCTCGGGACCCCCACGTCTTGTCCTGCAGGGACCTGACCTGATGTGCTCGCACTGTCCTCGTGCCCGCAAGACGGCTGAGAGTCCCGCTGGGCAGTTCTGCGGGACTCGCTCACCGTTTGCACAAAGACGTCCCACTGGTCGTCTGAGCCATACGTGAACTAGACAGTTTAAAGTAGTTTTTCCACTCGAGAACATGACGTGTCCCCCCAATTAAATTTTCTTTCGCATGTCCCTGTGACTAACCACATGAGCAACCAAAATAAGGAAGCCTCACTGAGCAGCTTTAAGCTAACTTTGACATTTTCAAACAACATTAAAACTAGAGTCTACAGCCATGCCGCCCTGAATACGCCCGATCCCGTCTGATCTCGGAAGCTAAGCAGGGTCGGGCCTGGTTAGTACTCGGATGGGAGACCACCTAGGAAGACCAAGCGCTGCAGGCATAAAACATAATTTAAAAAAAAAGGGATTGTAAGCTGACGAGGTCCTTGCAACCTGTGAGGTCAACCGAGGGTTGCCTCACCTAAAAAAAATTAAGGAAAAAACAACTAAGGAAGGTCGAAACAGGACTGGCATGGGGATACGCCACAAGTTAGTGCCACAATCGTGCATCTGTATTAAAACCCGTGAAACGGTTAAGAGCTTAGGAAGAGGGAACACTGCAGAGAACACAGAGGCTTCACTGGAGCGCCCCCAGGGCGGGCCGCCGAGTGGCGCGGGCCGTGGGCGCACGTCAGCGCGGGGCCGTGGGCGAGGCCGCGGTCTACGCTCACGTGCTGTCGGAGGAGCTGTCCGCCACTTACGGAGTCTCCTTCCCTGTCCTCTGAACGCCACTTAGGCCGGCCGCGTGCCTGTCAAGGCATCAGTCACCAGACGTGCTGGAGAGCGGGGCCTGGGCGAGAAACCATGACAGCCCCGGTGGCCCGACAGGGTGCCAGGGACGGCGGCAAAGATGAGCCCCGGAGGGGAACAGCGCCTTGGTCCGGGCGGGGCGGGGAGCCCCGGCACTCACCAGGCTCATGTCGTCACAGCAGGCGGCACAGGTGCAGGACGCAGCGTGAGGGTTCAGGATCCCGTCCTGAAACCAGACAGTGCCGGACATACCGCGGTTGGCCTGGTGCGCCGTCAAGCCCACGGCTGCCATTCTGCAACCGCCCTCAAAGACAGACCCCAAAGCCAGAACCTTCTGTCCTTCAGCTCCTGTGAATCACGCCCAAGCAAGACCACCTCCTTCCTCCCTACAGCGCCCTCTGTCAACTCCCCAAGAGCTGAGCTGGAAGCAACACCTAGGAGCCTCCCCCAGGGAGGGAACTGGAGGGTGGGGAGGCCGGGTGTCTCAAAAGTCACAGCACGGCCAGCATACCCCAGGAGCCCCTGCCTGGCCCCACCCAACCAAGCAGTCCTCGGTCCTTGGGGTAAACATCACGTGCCCTAGCGCAAGGTCAGGAGGCCAGGCAGGGAGGCGAGAGCCTGGTCCAGAGTCGCGGGCCTCACGGGCAGACGCTCCCGCAGCAGTACCTGGATGAGGCACTGCAGCGGCCGGCCAGCGTAGCGGATGCTCCTCTTCCAGTCCTTGCTGCTGGCTCTCCCCGCCATGGCTTCGAACTCCGTGGGGCTGTACCAGTTGTCCCCCTGCTTAATGCACCGGCCCCGGCCTCCTGGAGTGACACGGCAGCCATCGGCGTGAACCGCGATGCCCTGCTGCCAGCTCCTGCTCACTGACGTTGGGCCAGGTCCTTCCCGCCTCCCGCCCAGCTCCTCGGATGCCCCGTCCAGGCCCGTGCGACCACCCCTGCCACCAGTGCCCGCCTGCTTTAACTCCGGCTACTGTCCGTGGTCCTGCACCGCGCTGACAGCGGCCGCTTCAGGACCAGGCCTCCGGCCACCGCGCTGACCCTGCCGCGCATGCACCCCGCTCCGCGCACGCGCCCCGCTGGCCGGGGCGGCCTCACCTGAGCCCAGCCGGCTCTTGTGCAGGGTGCCGCTGACGTTGCGGCAGCGCACGGGCAGCTCGCTGTCGTAAGCCGACGGGTCCCAGCTGTACTTGCCTCCGCCCTTCTCCTGGCCGGGAGCTAGAGGAGGTGCGGGGGACTGAGGACCTTGGCAAAGAGAGCATGGTGACAGTGAGACACCAGACGCACCTGAGGGTCCAAAAAAGCTCATGGGCTCAGTGCAACCCCAGCGGCAGGCGTCCACTGCTCAGTGGCTGGCACGGGCGGCGCCGCCCTCTGCTCTGGGCAGCTGTGCCCACCTGGGAGCCCCGCCTCCCTGGGCACACGTGGCACTCTAGGCTCACCGCCACAGCCGTCCCTACCCACAACGAGCCCGCGGGCCGGGGCCCAAGAGCTGGGGCGCCGCAGCCATAAGCGAGGTCCCTCCTGGCCCTCACCTGGGGTGAGCGGGGCCGCCGGCCCCTTCAGCCCAGCGGTCTCCACGATGCTTCCGTCTGTGTGCACGACAATCAGCGTGGCTTTCTCGGTGTTCAGGCTGTCCCCAATCTGCAGGGCTGTCCTACCAGACTAGAAGGAAGAGCATGCCGTCGGACACCCAGGGATGGCTGCCAGGCGTGTCACCTGTGCGGTGGGGCGTGGTCCTACAACGGGGTCCTTGCTATCACCAAGGGGACACCTGCCATGCCTCGGCGGTCTCTTTCAAAGATGTCACTAAGCACTTAAACACAGAGCCAAGAATAAGAAGGGGCAATGCTAGGTCTGTGTGGCCCTGAGCAAATGCTCGACGTTGCTGGTCAAAGTCACAGAATAAGCGTGTACCATAGACATGCCCAGGAAACAGGAAGTGCCCCACTGTCCACCTGAGAGGCCAATCTGCAGTCACAGCCAGGCCTGGTGCAGGCCCCCTTCCCCACAGCCACTCAGGACTGGGGCCTCCCAGACCGCCCTCGGACAAAGCTCTCCTCCCTGGAGGCCACGGCAACCTGCCCACATCCTGTGGGCCAGCCCCAGCTCCCGTCCCTGCTGGCGCTCAGGCCACCGTGCTGCCCACCAGGTGCTCACCCCAGCTGGTCATCAGGCCCTCCCTCAGAAGCCTCAGGTGGACCAGGGGCCCCCAAGCCAGTAGCCCCAGCGCAGCATCCGGGATGGCCAGGTGCTTTCCTGCCAACCGCATGAGTGAGACGCTCCTCACACTGGGAAACGCCGCCTCAGCTCGGGGATCGAGTGGGAGCTCCTCGTGGTGCTGAGGGGCCCCGACCGCACGCACACGCACACGTGCACACACGTGCATAGGCCCGCCCCGCCAGGCCTGGGAGGGTGCCCCACCGGAGGCGAACGCTGAGCCTGGCAGCCCTCCACTAGAATAGGGGTGTCTCTGCCTGCATGGGAGCCTGAGAGCACCCTCCTCCGAGGCAGGGGGCACACGCACATTCAAGACCCCTCCCCTGGTCGGTTTCCCACAGGGCCCCTGTCCTGCGAGACGGACAGACAGGACAGAACCTGCTGCCAAGGAGGAGTGACCGGCAGGAAGCGCAGGAGCACCACATGGCCACCAGCCTGGCGTTGCCCCACACGGGACAAACCCCTCAAATCGGCCACGTCCCCCTCTGCCCTCCACCCTCCGCCCCAGTGGTTCAGGCGCGTTTTCTGTTTGTTGCCACTCAAAAGACAATAACTTTGCCATCAGGCGCCTTGTGTCCCAAGAGTGCCATCGAGGCTGAAGAGAACTTTAACAGTCCGGCAAAGGTCCCAGGGACAGTCCACTTTCTGGAGACGCCCACCCCCAGTGTGCACCCCGGAAACAAGCTGTGCCCCCAAGTCCCGAAAAGCCTTGACTGTAAAGGGTGAACAATGTGCTGCAGCACGGCCACAGAAGGCTCTGAGGGCACAGACGCTGCTCAGAGCGTGACAGAGCGGGTGGCCCCGGTGCGCATGGCACGCATGGAGGGCGCTGGGCTGTAAGGTGACAGGGACGACGCGGGACCAAAGGGATCTGGAGCCGTGACCAGAAGCAGGCAGGGCCGGCCGCTGAGGAAAGCTGGGCGTGCACGGACGCTGGGCACCCCCCACCTGCCCCAGGGCCGTGTGGCAAGGAGGCAGGGGCTGGGAAGGCCCCCTCTGTCCATCAGTCCTCGGGCTCACTCCCCGGCCACGGCAAGGCTGAAGGAGAGTGGCGGCTGTGCCCTCTGAGCCCAGGCCCGAGCAGGCTCCAGGGAGTGGGCCACCCTGGGGAGCAGGCCACCCAAAGGTGGCCCTGGAGAGCCTGCGCGGCAGCTTACCAGGACGTGTCCCGAGAGCGAGGCAGCGTTGGCCACCGACGTCGTGAAGACATTGTCCGCCGAGGCGCCCACGTTGGCCACCGTCACAGTGGTCACCTCTGCAACACAGGAGCCCGACTCAGCGCGCCATCTGAACCAGGCCTCCACGCAGCTCCAGCGCATGCCTGCACCTCGGACACGCTCACGCGGAGCGGAACCGACACTTTCCGACCCGGCAGCAATTGGGTCTTCCAGGAGACAGGCCGCCGGCCTCCAGGACAGCCTTTCGCTGTGGTGAAAAGCGTGCCATGCCCGCCCTGCGGCCCAGGCTCTGCCCAACAGCCCTTCCGGGGGGAATCAGACCACAGAAACCCTGTCCCACACAGGGCCCCTGATGCGCCCCTTCCCCAGTGGGGCCCCTCGCCCACCCCACCCCCAACCCCCGGCATGGGCCAACCCCTCACTCAGGCTACCCCCGCCCTTCGCCTCCACCGCATACCATCAGGTGACTGAATGCTGTGTCCCCAGACCCCCGCTGTGTCCACCTCCCTCACATTCTCCCTCCCCCCTCAGCCGCCTATCACTCCCAAACCCGCCCTCATCGGCGCACTGCCCACACCTAGCGCCCAGGCCCCTGGGCTCGGGCGCCCCCTCTGCAGAGCCTGTCCCCCGTGCTCCTCCTTGGCCTCCTTGGGTCACACAGCATTCCAGAGTGTCCCACACTGGGGCCGTCTCTGGCAATACTGGTTGAAAGATTTCTGCACCTTCCATTAACTCGCACTCACCGGCTGCTCTGGGAACACCTGGCCCCCACCCGTCTCCGCTACCAGACCACGTGCTGTGGACCCCGGGAGCCCACAGGCAGCGGGGCCGGGCTGAACACACGCTCAGGTCTACAGCCTGCACGAGTGGCCGTGTGCCCAGGGAGGCGGCCTCAGTGCCAACGCGTGCTGTCGAGGTCCGCACCTGGAAACCGGCCGCAGACATTGACAGCACAGCGCTTCGCTGCCCTAACACGTGCAGTACGCAACCAGACACTTTTGCAGGAAAACAGAATGTCGACGTGCCTTTCTAATGTCATGACAAATGACGTCACATTTCTGCATTCAAAAATAGGTGCAAAAAGGACAAAAACCTGAGGAAAATCTTCGCAGTCCAAAACCCCAATGTCAAACCAGAGTTTAGTGACGAAACTGAACACTTTAAGGGCTGCGAAGCCATCTTCCCTCGCTTTTCCGAGGATCCCAAACAGACCAAGGCACGCCAGAGGCGTGTGCCCCACCCGCCCCACCTCTGGGGCTGAATGAACGCCGCGTAAACAGGTGGCCATGTGCCCTCTCTGCGCGTGCACATATGCGGCCGCACGTGGGGGCCAGAGGCTACTGTCCAGTTCTGAAAGCTGTGACGGCCCCCAGCAGGACAGCGCCTCACATGTGACGCAGCCACAGGTTACTCTCCAAGGGTTCTGACACTCAGCTCTGAGTCCTTGAGGGCCACCAGGCACACTCCCATTGGGAAGGGGTACGCCCTAGGGTAAGTCTCCACCACTTTGGGGCATGGTCTGGGACTACCCTAAAGGGCACTACTGCCAGAAGCTCCATGGGTCACCAAGCTTGAGAATGACAATGGTCTGTGTGGCAGGGAACAACACGTGGGCCAGCAGCTCGTACTGGCTTTCCTCTGGGAAGGGGGCCTGATGAGAATGCCACTGGAAAAAGGGAAGATCCGTAGTGGAAAGGAGGGGACATGTGGGAGACAGACGGGCAGCTGACCTCTGGTGTCAATGCCCCAGAAAGCCATTGGCCTTCCCAGGGTGGGTGACCATTGTCTCGTTCCCCAGCCCTCAGGTCACCCCTTTGCAGGCCCTTAGAATTCAGGGGACCAGACATGCCCACCCTTGGGCTACTACTCTAGGACAGGATCCATGTCTGACCTCTGCCCCCGCGTGTCACAAGCACCCAGGACAGACGGGGAAGATAAGCAGGGCAAGCAGCAGGTGCCGAGAAGGTTCCAGAAAGAATGCAGAGTGCTGTACAGAAGAGGTGGACTAGCATAAGGAAAAAGGGTTCGGGGAGCAGATGTGCATGCAGGGGAAGGCCAGGCTGGTCACATGGTCATGTGTGCACGGACGATAGGGTACACAAGGTAGGTGTGAGGAGGTGCTTAGGAAGGGTGGGTGGGCTGGTCTCACAAGGTGGGTGCGTGGCAGGTGCAAAGTAGGCGCGCAGGACACATGTGGACTGCTCGTGTGGGGTCCATCTGGGCAGGTGCACACGCGGGGTAGGTGCGTGCGTGACAGGTGTGGACTGGTTTTGCAGAGCACAAGCGTGCCATACACAGCTGGCTGTGGGACTGCGTGAGGGCAGGTGCGCGCGGGAATGTGTGGGCTGGTCGTGGGGGTGTATGCGGGGCATGTGTAAACTGGCAGTGCGGGGCGCACGAGGGCAGGTGTAGCCAGGTGCGAGTCAAGTGCAGCTGGTCGTGCGGGTGCGCGCGGGACAGGTGCGCGCGGGCGCGGGCGGGCGGCACTTGCCTGCGAAGGCGGCGGCC